ACTTTAAATATCCCAGGATAACTTTCAGTTTCTGGGCGGCTTATGCAAAAGTGCTTTTTATAGCGTTTTGCAGTTAATTTTAACTCTTCTGTTTTATTTAGCAGCAGGGGGTCAGTAGGCTTCCAGAAGCGCTACAAGGAGCAAGGGGTGCTGCTAGATCTGCAAGTAGATGGAGGATTTGATAAGGCAGCAAGAGGTAGGAAAGGCCTTGGGGGTGGGAATACTGTCCCTGCAGGGGAGTGGATTTAATTCCTAGCCTAATCCAGGGCAAACACTCGTGACAGGGGTTCTTCGCTCCCTCTTTTAGCACAGCGCCTAGTGAAGGTGCATGGGAAGGTATTTGTTTCTTCCGAGCGTGTTTACACACGTCCCTCCTCATTACAGCATCTAAAGCAGCAGCAGAGGTAAAACCCAATTGTTTTCCATTTCTCTTGTTCACATCATGTTGCAGCAACATTAAGACATTGCTACCAGATTGGCTCTCATTAAGTTGGGCGCTGTGCAGAGATGTAATAAACTGCAGCTCCTGTTGCAGAGTCTTAGGCCCTGAAGTCAGGGCAAGCGTCGTTCTTGCAGCCTCGAACTGATGAAAAAGAGCAACAGTTTTGCTGTCTGCACAAGAACCCGCTCATCTGGGAAGTGTGTACCTGATTATGGGCAATTTTATCGATGATAGTCTTCAGGTTAATTATCTTAAAACATCCCAATCAGGTAGGGTTTTACCCAGAAAAAAATAAAGGTATCTTGCCTAGCAGAGCTCAGGAGTTTCTGGAAAATGCATTCTTGAAGGCCATTAACACCAATACCTAAAATTTTGATGCGAAACTCTCTCCTGCCCTGCCACATAGGCGTCTTGATGCGTGCATTCATGTGCAAGAGTAAATGTGTGTGTGAAATGCTCAAATATTTGCTGCAGGAAACCTGTTCTTGGAGTGTCAAAGCTTCATATTTCAGTCTCGCTGGAGTCCAGAGCTCTAATCCAAGAACCCCACCTGTTTGTGTGGATTCACCTAATAACTATGTTACCTTTAATGTGGGAATAGAGGGCCTTATCTTATTTTCTTCTTGCTCGTAATTAATACAAAAAGAATATTAATGCTGCCATGCAGGAGCACATGAGGCAGGGGGCTGGTGGCTGCTCTGAGTTTCCTGGGGAGCAGAGGTGGCTCCGCGGGCTCAGGACCATCCCACCACCCGAACGTGGGATCTCCCTGTACCGAGGAAGAGTCCGTCTGTGCCGATCGGCCGCTCCGGTTCCTGCGCTTGCCCACGGGCTCCTGCAGTCAGTGTCGTGGCCACCTGCCTTCTGCCCCGGATTAAATCACCGCGGCGGCTGCTTCGGTGTAAATGGGAGATAGCCGGGATTCGTGACTCGGAACCAAGCCCTCGTTGTGAGGAGCTGCAGCTCGACGTTAGACTTGTTTGAACAGCTTCTTTCCAGGGTTGGGTTTGTCAAAGCGAGCGTGCCGAGCTTCCAGGCACCGCTGGAGCTTCCAGGCACCGCTGGAGCTTCCAGGCACCGCTCGGGCAAACTCGTCCCCCGGCGCTTTTGCAGGAGTGGGCTCACCCACCCCCATGGTGTGAAGGGCCCTTTTGTTTTCTTTTGTCCAATCTGCTTTATTAAGTAGATTAAATATTTTGTTCAAGGAGAGCTTTTCTTTTGGAATTGAAAAGAATGCTGTTGGTTTGGTCTTTTATTTGATCCTGTCTCCTCCTGATTTGCCCAAGCATTCCCGGTTCTGCTCGGAAGCGCTCTGGGAGATGCCCCATAGGGGCTTCAGGTACGTGGCACGTTTGCTGCCTGCCACCCGCAGCCAAGGACCGGTCGTTTTTTCTTGGCTCTTAATGATGGCAGAAGAATTTTCCCTCCTGGATTATCCAACCTGAAATGCTGGATCTGCGTGAGCTGCCTTGTAATCCTGCTCCTTGCTGGAAGCTCTTTGGTTCCCGCTTCCCCCGAGCCCGGCACGGAGCAGCCTCTCCTGCGCGCGCCGGGCCCTTCCGTCCGCAGGAATACGGCTCTTGC